TCCCAATATTAGGGGGAGAAAATGAGTAGCTGAAAAAGTGATACGTGGAATGAATTATTATGAGTACATCTAGATCCTCGTACAAGAAAATGTGAACTTGAAGTTCAAGTGATAATTCATTTGCAAAATATTGCGAGGCGTATTTGCTAACCCAAAGCTAAATATCATATTTCAGTTATTAATGCTCCAAATAGAATAAAATCCATGATGAACAGAGTTTATGAGACACACGAAGTGTAATAAACTAATCGGTTCCAAAGATAAAACTCCTTGAAGAAGGAAAGGAGCAAATGTTCAAGTTGGTCATAATAAGGAGGCAAGTGCTTTATAAGAGCACCATGATATAACACTTCATAAGACCTCATGGGAGAGGCTCAGGTACCTGAAAATAATAAGATAAAGAGATCTTAATAAGTATTGTCTTTATTGAGTAACGATGGAGCCGATATAAAATGATCGTCGACGATATTGTTGATTGTAGCGTTCAATATTATTAATATTGACGAGTATCTTGAGCTCAAAGCTGTCATGGAATTTGAACAGATAAATGATTGGACAAATGAAAAATATGCAATGAAAATTTACTTTACTTGAAAAATGTGAAGTTGGGCGGATAGTCCAAACACCTGAAAGTGAAATGAAAAATCAAGTCGATAGACATAAAGACGACTTGTAGCACAAGATTTTTCGTAAATATTCCGGCATTAGTTATAGGGAGATATGTTCTCCTATGGTGGATGAAATCCTTTTCATGTTTTAATTTAGCAATACATAAAAAACTTGATATACGTATAATGAAAATCCTTGAAGGATTTAAATTGTTAAAGTTTCAGCAAATCCTTATGTGGATTAGAGTAATCATGGTATGATTTATTTTTGTGTCTAGTGCAATTGGTGCACTAATGTATTTTGCTAGAACCATAAGTATAACAATATTCTAGCGAGATATAGTTTTACTCCATTGTATATTGAAATACGATTAGTGTTATATTGCAAAAGGAATCTATGATATAGATTTGTTTATTCTAACAGATATTGTCAAGGTTTTGTTGGTTATTCAAATGCAAGCATTTTCTGAAGTTCATTCTGTATGTGAAGGTACTGTCATATTATTATTTCACAAGGCAGTCAATTGTTGATACTTATCCAAGTCATATCAATATACTAGCAACTGATAAAGCAAGTGACTCAACACACAACAGATGTGTGACTTTTCCTTGAAGAGAAGATTCCAATAATAGTGAAGGCGATGATATTTGTTTATCTCAATTGAAAGAAGGATATATCGGAGGAGACAAAATAAAGCATATTTCACCTAAGTTCTATTTTAGACATGATCATTGTTCAACAAATTTGTTCAAGTAATAATTTGACAAACTTCTTCACAAGGCATTGCGGATCTCAATATTAGAGAAGTTGTTATACAAGCTTGGAATTCGTCGTCTCCGAGAAACAAAAGTGATGTTTTCATCAGGGGGAGACAAATACGCATTGTGCTCTTTTTCCCTTAGCTAAGGTTTTATCCCACTGGGTTTTCCTGGCAAGGTTTAGTTGAGGCAGCAAGTAATACATATTACAAGATATGTGTACTTTTTTTTCCTTCACTAAGATTTTTCCTATAGGGTTTTTTCTTAGTAAGGTTTTAACGAGGCACATTATCTGTGGACATCCAAGGGGGAATGTTATGAAATACATATTATATGGATGCCCACTAATCAAGTATAACTCCCACTACTCTTCCCCACTATTTATCACCATTTTAGTTGTAACTCCCATACCTCCATAACCTCCCCATGATCTTCCCCATGTTCTCTATAGTTAATATCATGTTCATGACATCTCTTTGTATTACCTCAATGTCATCCTATAAATAGAGAGTTTGGGCATCACATTGTACACACTTGACACACTTGAAAGAAATAAGAAGCTCTCATCTCTTGCTCTCTACATTCTTGTCTATTTTCTTGTTTTATTACTTTGAGCTAAGTTTCTGTCACGCCCCAAAAACCGAGAGGCGCGACCGGCGCTCGACCGGGTAGCCCCCAGCCAAGCGGACCTGGGTGCCTTTCCTATTCCACGCGATACTCTGCGTTTTCATTACTCATTAACCAAGTGAAATAGCCATTTATAAATTTAAACACATTCTTACGAGATTTACATAACATACATAGTTACTTAGCGTGGTTTACAAGTTATACTGCCCAAAATACATAAGTACATAACCCACATTTCTTGTCTACGGAGCCTCTAGAGATACAAAAGAGTGTTACAATACTTGCCGGTAACAAGACTCCGACTATACCTTACACAAATACCAAAATAAATTTTCGGGAGGATAAGCGGCATGAGCCACGCAGGGCCCCGAGAGGAAAGGGGCTCACCAATTCAGCTGACGGGAGGTGAAGGAGTGCTACTGTCGGTGGGCTGGAGTACCTGTTATGGAACCACCTACAATCATAACACGAATGTAGCGCCCCCGGCAAAAGGGACGTCAGTACATTTGAATTGTACTGGTATGTATGAACAAACTTTACCCCAAGTAAAATCAAGAAATACACAGATAACAAACAGTAATAGAATCAACAATCAAATGCACATGAAAGGAACAACAAAAGCCAAACAAACTCAACAATATCTCCTTTTCTCCTTTCAACATTATTTCATCATATCAATGATTTCACAACTTTCACATATTTTTATTTCAATAGTGATTTCGATCACTGTTCCACCCTTATTACCTCGGCCACCCTTATCACCACAACCCACACCTTATAACTTCGTGTTGTAGCGCGCAACCCGATCCCACCGGACAATCACATTTCATACGACAACAACAACAATTCACAAAGAATTTTCATAAACATCAATACCATTTCCATCATATGCAACAGCCCGTATACAATTTAAGTCACAACGATAATTGCCCGCGACAAGTCACATATGATATTACCACAGTTGTTTCAATCGCATCAATTACGATTTCTTTCCATCATTTGTTACACAGCTCTTACCACATAACCACATTCACACACACACTTGGTTTGTTGCCATTTACTTACACCATTATATCGGGAGACTTAACCAACAACATTCAAGGCATATTAATCACAAGAATTCGCAAATAGTCCACATAAGTAATACATACCAATTACTCGTACACCAAACAAAGGTGACTTTACAAGGGTTAATGTTAGCAATACATACCTGGAGTCGAATTCCCCTTTTTTTCTTTTCTTCTATTTCCAATTCACCAACACCCTAGTACCATCAATCTAGTTCACAAGTTAACACATATAACTTAGAATTGACGTTCACAAACTCAGCCCGAACTTACTTAGGTTATCAACCCCTCTTTTGCAAATCTTTAGTTCTACCCAATTCCTCTTACTAGATTCTAGGTTTTAAAGGGCATGCATGTGTATCTCAACTTCCATTTTCAAGAATTAACGCATGAGAATCCCCCTTTTTTGTTTAAATCTGAAAACAATGAAAAAGGGTTGGGGATTTTACCTGCAAGAACGGAGATGAGGACAATTACTTGAAATTTCCCGGCCCGAGTGACTTTGAAGAATCAAATTGATGAAGGTAGGGCTTTATCTCTCAAGAATTCTCTCTCTCCTCTCTCTAGTTTTGTTCAAAAAATATGTTAAAATAAGGAGTCGGGGTGTTTTATTGAAGAAGGGGTCGGGTTTAAAATTTAGAAAAATAGGAGCCCGAGTTAGGTATGCGATCGCACTTTGCGATCGCAGAGTGGAAATGCGGTCCGCAGAATGGACCGCAAAAGTGCTCCCAAAATCTGAACACACTGCCTGGGTATGTGGCAGAAATGTGGTCCGCATACCCATTATGCGGTCGCATAGTGCACCGCAGAACTGCCCCTCACAAAATCCTAAGGGAAATATGCGACGACTATGCGGTCCGTATATCCGTTATGCGATCGCATATTGGACCGCATATTTAACCTCCAATTCGACCAACACACTGACTCACTTTGCGGCGATTATGCGGTCCGCATATCTGTTATGCGACCGCATTCTAGACCGCAGTATTGCATTTCCTGGAAAACAATATTTCTTGACTTTTTATAACATAGATCAGTACCAAAAGGGTCCGAACCGCGGCTCGCTTAATTTTACACATTCCTAACATATATTCNAAATATGCGACGACTATGCGGTCCGTATATCCGTTATGCGATCGCATATTGGACCGCATATTTAACCTCCAATTCGACCAACACACTGACTCACTTTGCGGCGATTATGCGGTCCGCATATCTGTTATGCGACCGCATTCTAGACCGCAGTATTGCATTTCCTGGAAAACAATATTTCTTGACTTTTTATAACATAGATCAGTACCAAAAGGGTCCGAACCGCGGCTCGCTTAATTTTACACATTCGTAACATATATTCGGGACTTGACACCACAAGCTACCCGGTTTTGAGTACAAGTTTCCACGGGGCCTTACAGTTTCTTAACAATTACTAATTAATGGGTAATTAAAAAATTCTCAATGTTGGAGTTCATAAAGATCAAATGGTTATCTACTTCTTTTCTTTCTTTCATACTTCTTGATAACAGATAATGGTCCTTAGATATTAACTACCATAAAAATAAAATAAAAACTGACAGCCCGGCGCACAAAGTATCCCGCGTTCATGCAGGGTCCGGAAAAGGGCCGCACCCAAATGGGTGTGATGTAGACAGCCTATGCTAATGCAAACATTAGTGGCTGCTTCCATAACTCAAACCTATAACCTATAGGTCACATGAAGACAACTTTATCGTTGCTCAAATGCTCCCCTTCATATTATTGACTACCATAACTACTACAATATTGGACTAGCTAAAGTCCACGGAGGATGAAACCCCAAAAGTTAACTACTTCATTATACAATAACTACTCCACTCCAAACCAAGTATTACTAGAGATTTCCCCATCTTAATTTAGCTCATATAACCTACTGAAAAGAGAAAGTATAGCTTTTCTACAATCCATGGAGATGCTAAAATCTCCTTCTAAACTAGCCATTTTTTGGTTCTTCTTCTTCTTCTTGGCGCTAACTAATCGATCATTTTCTGCAAGAACTCTGAATAACAATCCTTCCCTAGAAGACCTTCATCGCAATCGTGCACACCATGAAATATCCTTTTACATGCTAGATGTTCTTAGCCAAAAACACCGTTCATCAAAACCTGCATCAACAAAAGTAAATAGTCATCAGCTTCCCTTCTCGAAACCATTAGGCTATTTCCCTCCTGTGGGTGGCATTCCATTGACCGACACAAATCCAACTGTTGAAATGAACGGATTGCATACCCGCGCGCTTGATTTGGAAGGAATCAGCATGACATTCCCAGCTATAGCCACACTTCAGGAATTAGAGCTAGGGACAGTGACAACAATCGATGAGAACATATACGAAGGTTCTATTTATGGCTCGTCTTTGATGGGAAAAGCTCAAGGAATGTATGTTGCTAGTTCAGAAGACGGCAGCAGTCATATGATGGCAATGACTACTAGCTTTCTTAGTAATGAATACAAGGATAGTTTAAGGTTTTTCGGGGTGCATAAGGGTGATGTTTTTGAATCACATATAGCAGTAATTGGTGGTACAGGAAAGTATCATGATGCAAATGGCTATGCTACTGTCAAGATTGTCAATGCAACCTCTAATAAGAGTGAAGGCGCATACAAGATTCTTTCATTCAGTGTTTATCTTGGTTAAAAGTTAGTATACGATAGTCTATCTGATAACTTGCTAGAGTAATCATTGTGATGTAAGCTGAAATTTCTTTTTTCTATTGTAATTCTTGCTTGTTCAAGATTTATTTAAGGGTGAAGATCACTCCTATAATTTATATAGCAAATTTTTTGTGGAATTCTTGCTTTCTGTCAATACAAAGGGATATGTTACCTGAACTTCAATAGTTCACCGTGATCTTTTTCGAAGTGTATACCATCAGAAATATACACCGATCTTCAATGGTTTCAAAAAGTTATATGAAATTCAGAAAGAATGTTTTTGAACATAACATTTTACTCGATAAGCAAATCAAAGTTTAGAATAGTGCATAATTAACTTCAGATAAAGTCCTTCAAAAACTGCTCGCAAAGAAAGTGCTTTCTCTGCCCAGATTCGAAGGGAATAGTGTAGGGGCAGACATAATACTGTTAAAGTGACAGACTACATTCACGCAGTTAAGAGTTAACATATGTTACCAATTAAGGAGCACGGAATAAGCTGCAGAGACCCTTCTCAACAACAATAATCCCAGTGTAATCTCACAAGTGGGATCTGGGGAGGGTAGAGTGTACTCAGACCTTACCCCTACCTTGGCCCTCGGCTCATTTGAAAAAAATTCAGATAATGCCGGTGGATGAATGGATAATACATATTTGAGTATTCTTGAAGATGTGCTATTTATGAGAAACGAACTTAAATTTCCTTATAGATTTACACTAAAATATTTAGCGTCGAGGAAACTTACGGAGAATTCTAAGGTTTAGGAACTCATTTTTCAAAATTGTACGAAATTCACAAAGAATGTTTCTGCCTTCAACAAGATTTACTGCTAAATATCAATCTTTTATCCTCTATGGAAGGAAACTTAAATTGCATTTTCTTAAGCTAGGAAATACAGGAAGAATGAGACATCGCAACTTTGCCTGCAGATGTTGAAAGGAATCTTCTGTAAAGTCCCGAGTATATGGAACAACGATATGGTTTACCCTTAGAAACAGCTAATTAATTTTCTTATTTGGTAAAAAAAATTATTTTGATTAGGCTTAAGATGATAATGTAATATAACTGTGTAGATAATTTGCAAAAAGCTATCAGAGTTGGTTCAACCAAACCTGATGTCCATTTTGGATTTGGTGTTCTGCAAAAAAATAGTATCTACAAAGGGTATTTAGTACTCCTTACCAAAACCACCTTATCAGCTCCACTTCTTATTAAGGATGTAATCAAAACTATATATACCCGTTGAGTTTCCAGTCTTTCCTCATCAATCAAGCATCTACTCAACCATATTGTTTCTTTTAATCTCTCATTCCCTAGCGTCATTCGCAAGAAAAAATGGCAAAAGTTTCCCAACTCACCTCTAAAACACTCCAAGCCACGTTCTGCATTTTGCTGCTAGCCCTCACCTTCGGTTGTGCCAGTTCAGCAAGAATCCTTGATGAAGTGAACCAAGTGGCTGACGCATCATCAGAAACAGATGATCCTGTTGTAGCTCCTGTGGTTGCCCCAGCTGCCACATTGCCAAGTAACCAATTACCAGCTACTGTCACTGGTCCTGATTCTGACGTGGCGCCTGTGGCTGATCCTTCCATCCCTGCTGACACAGTGGCTCCTCCAGCAGATTTACCAGCTGAACCTGAACCAGATTCTGCCCCCGTTGTCGCCCCTGCTGCCTCAGTGGCCCCTCCTGCTGACTTACCAGACACTGGAGCAGCCCCTGTTGCCGATGCAGCACCAGTAACTACCCCTGTCCACCAAACACCAGGAGTGGCCACTGCAACCCCAGGTGGGGCCACAGTAGAAAGCCCTGTCCTTGAGCACCCGACATTCTCCTTTTTCATGCATGACATCCTTGGTGGTACACGTCCTTCAGGAAGAGTGGTCACTGGAATTGTTGCCACTTCTGATGCAAACAATCTCCCTTTCTCGAACCCCACCAATCAAATCTTCCCAATCAACGGTGGAGTTCCTTTGAACACCATTAACAACGTTGTCGACAACAACAATTATCCATTCCTTGCAGGCCTAAATGGCCAGCAACAAGCTAACACTATCCTGCAAAACAGCGGAAACAACAATGTAGTTAATGGTGATAACAACCAACCTTTTGTAACAGCCGGTCAGCTTCCTTCTGGCTTATCGCTTCAGCAGCTCATGTTTGGCTCTATTACTGTCGTTGACAATGAAGTAACCGAGGGGCACGAACTGGGATCAGCTGTTCTTGGCAGAGCACAAGGATTTTACCTGACAAGCTCTTCAGATGGCACCAGCCACACTTTAGCCTTGACAGCACTATTCCATGGAGAACACGATCATGAAGTGGATGATACCATTAGTTTCTTTGGAATTCACAGGACAGCCACACCAATTTCGCACATTGCCATCATTGGAGGGACTGGCAAGTATGAAAATGCTAAAGGATTTGCCACCATTGAAACTCTTCCTCACGTGGACCAACATACTACTGATGGTCTGGAGACAATTACCCACTTTACTGTCTACATCACCCCTTAAACAGCAGCATGTCTTCTAGATAAGGCGTTAATTCAACATGTTTTCTGTATTTTCGGAATCTTTACATTATGTACTTTGAAGCATATAATTTAATGGTTAATTGTGTTGGTGGTGTTATGATCTATATTAAAGCTCTTTTACACAGTCCAAAAAGGTGTATCCAACATGGAGTTTCATTTGGCCATCACATATTATGAAATACTAATTATGTATAAAAAGAAATATCTAATGAAAGGAAAGAACTTCCAAAATCTTATCCCTGGAAACTTTTTACACCAATACAGCAGCAACAGGAAAAGCAGTCACAAGGCAAAGTAGCTTGTAGCATTCCTTCTGGATGTTACATGTCTAAAAATATTACTCCTAGTATTTAACAAATTATGCACTAAAGTAAATCCAAAGCAAGAAATAATGGAATAACTTCTGCTCAGTGATAATTTCTTTTAAATTTTCTGGCTCTCTGCCTTCAGAAATATACCAATGGAATTCATATTTTGTTGTTTACACCAAATCTCTCTACATGCATCTTCATGCATCAGCATGGGATTTCTACAGAAAAACAAGAATTGCACAAAGTGTTTGATGAATATAAGAATAAATAGTGCCACATCTTTCAGATTCTCTACACAACATCCTATACTTTCAGATCAAAACTGCTGTTGGAAAAAACTAAATCTATTCCCAGTAACTTGAGGAGGGAAATAGTAGGAAACTTCAGCGGCCAAAAATCCCATTTTATATGCTTTCAATGCGAAGCTAATTCTGCAGCTAACTCATCAAACAAATATTTCTCTATTTCTCTACAAATGCTACTAAGTTCCTCCTCAACCTGCAACCATTTGGTTTCGTTTCCAATTGCCTTTCCGGACAAGTCCTTGTGCACTTCATTTTCCTGACTAACCAGCATCCTCCACAACTCTTCTTCAACATCAATTCTCCTCAATGCAGAACAACACCTTCTCTTCAAAGATTTTCCCCTTATGTAGATATCCAGAAACGAATGCAAAATCTCACTCAGCCCTGAATTTATGCGGTCAAACAAAAGCTTCCTCTCCGATTTTAGCCAAGATGTTTGCTTCCCGTACTTCTTCTCTAATAAGTCAAACAGTGAGGGATTCACAGGGCAATCCAAAGAATGCCACGTCTCAAAGCACATTCCTAGGTTCATGCCATGCAAACTGGCCTCATCTAAAACATCAACCAGGTAGGAGAAGTCCCTGCTTTCTGCAAATTTGAAGTCCGTTAATACATTTTCACTATCTTGAAGGAGATCAAGAGACCCTCTCTCGGAGTGTTCATCATTTGAGACGCCCATTTCAGATCCTTCTGAATATGTTTCCTCGGAGTTGGTCTCAAGAAACTGAAGTTGCACTGCTACACCTTACAAGTTTAGAAGAGTGAAAATGAGATTGGATGAAACGCTATTGAAAACAATAGTTTACAAAGGTTTATGTCTACTTACTACATAAGCCATGGAATTCAGAAGTGCAGAGCTTCTCTTCCTGGAAAGGTGGCTCCAGAACTGAATTTGGACTACCCTGATCGGTTTCCTTCAAGTTTAAGTCTCTATATTCCGCACTATCTTTCTGCTTTCTGTTCATATACTTGCTGCTGATATCCAAAGGATTGCACAGGCCCGAGGTTCCAGTGTGCACACTGAATGAACTGTCAAAACTATGCTTGTCCCGTTCAGAGTTCAAAAATTGAGGATTTGTTTCTAGGTAATCCATAGCAAGCATTTCTCCATGACTCCTGTTTCTATGAGCTATTTCAACTTCCTGAAAATCATTCTTCAGTTTCCATCTTCCAATGATTTGCTTCTTCTCTTCTTTGGCAAAAGATGACCTTTTTGTAAAGGAATACAGAGTATCATCTTCTCTTCTCGTACTAAATAAATTTGAAGAAGGTGATTTCAGATCCTCGGCCTTCAGAAAAGTGTCGTTGATGTTTTCTGCTCTTGATGTGAGTTTTAAACTGTGATTAAGTTCGTGTTGTACAAGGTTCCTTGTCTGTACTATTTTCCGTGGAACTCTAACCCCATGTTTTAGAGGTTCCAAGCTATAAACACCATTTTCTCTTCCTGGTTTATCATTATCTACTTCCCCATTTTCATGTTTTCTGAATTGGTTGTACTTCAAATCAACAGGATCGGATTCCACACCAGGCCTAAGAGAAAATGACTGTCTTTTGGTGTTAGAAGACTTTCTAGAACTAGGTTTGAGCGCAATAATTCTTCGAGACGGATGAGGCATGGTTGCGTTTGGATCAAACTGAAAGTTTATTTTCTTCAAGTGATGAATAGCACATTCTCCAACATCATCTTTTGGTGTACCAATCCCAAGTCTCTGAAGAGATCTCGAAGTATTTTCAGATAGTAAACATTCTGAGCTACCTTTGGAGTGCTTAAAGTAAGAATGCTTCTCCTTCATTGATGTAAAACTTGAATCACTATATTTCTGCCTCTTCAACTTGGCTGCATTTTGGCTTGCTTTTACACGGCTATAAATATCTGGCATCTCAACTCCGAATACATGTTTAACTACTTGATGCTTCTGAGTATTTATTCCGCAGGAGAGGCCAACAGAGAATGAGCTCTTTTCTCGCAAACCTATGGTAGCCGTTTTCCGGAGATAGTTCTCAGAGAGTACTCTCCTTTTCTTAGAAGGGAGAGGCTGCTGAGGTGGAAGCTCGTCAATGCCCATCAGCCTTGCTATAACACTTGGTGTATGATGCTTCTGTTCCATCTGTTTCAACAACTCTGTAGCTAGTCTGGTCGTTAACCAGGCACTGCGCAGATATGACGAGAATTGTGTTAGTTTTCCAGATTAACAATTCTGTCTGCAAGAGCAAAATAGATGCAAATCATGATTTTTTGAGAAAATAAGAGAAGGGAAGAGATATATTGAAGACTTGTTGATAATAGAATACAAAACTAGGTAAGAGATACAATCCATATCCTATATTCTATGTTGTTCGGACACTCCAAAAATGTTGCCGCACCAGTGTCAGATACTTCAACAATGCACTACTTTTGGAGGATCCGACACGCACCTGACGGTATTTTTGAAGAGTCCGAGCAACATGGCTGATAATTTAACTAAAGAAGGACTAATTTGATACTAAAATTTAACACTAACTCTAACATTCTAAAGGACTTACTAAATACTAAAATTGTACACCAACTCTAAAGGCATTGTAGTAACACACTAACACCACTGTCCTTGTAGTTAATCTAGCATGACTTACATTTAACTGCACAAGCAGGCAATATCCATTGATAGCATTTAAAACTTAAACAAGAAAGGCGGAAAATTGCAAATTATTATGCACAACATGTTAAACAGAACCACTAGGTTGTACTATTAGAGAAAAAAGGAAACAATAACAAAAGCTTCAAACTTTAAGTACATAAAACTGATTCTATACCCATGCGTATTCACCTAAAAGACAAAGCAGACAGTTAAATTCACTTAAGTAAGATAGCTCCCAAGAAAAGAAAAAGGGGACCTTAATTAAATCTAAATCACACAGATGAGAAAGGTTTACATGTGGATTTTGATTTACAGAAAATGAGAAAATGATTTGAAGATGTGGAAATACATGTTCGTGTTCTGCTTTAGCCAAAGAAATGAACATAGGATACCTTCATATATCAGCATTCACAAGTGTAAATGAAGTAGAAACAGAGAGTCAAATATGTGCAACCAAAGCTAAAAAGCAGCAGGCCATGGTTATTAACATCATCATTATCAATAAATGATAAATCCCAACACTGACAAAGTCCAACCCAAAGCCATCATAAAAGACAACAAATTACCATCATTAACCACAACACAGAAGTCAACTCAAAACCCAACATAATCATTCCCATCATCACTCTCAATTAAATAGGCGCAAACTAGTTGCGGTCGGTTATATAAATTTTCTATATACACAGAAGATTCAAATACCCCTCAATCTCTCTATATATGTTCCATGAATTTGTCCTAATTAGACTATCTTTTATGCACTATGCAACTATCCTCCTTTATGCAAACTTAAAGTCTGAATTATTCAACCAAAATTGCTTTGTATATAGGGTACCACTACTAATATATTAGTATTATTTTTTTAAAATATGGCCGGTTACCCCTTCCAGTCTCTATGTTTTACAAAGCTCACATAAGTGGAATCTCATAAATCCTATGACTAGCAACAAAGCAAGCTACTTATTCATTTCACATAATTACTCACAACATAAAACACAGTGAAAACCCCAAAAAATCCATGAATCAAGAAAAAACCATGAATTTAGAAAACACCAGAAGCTAAAGATGATACCTGTATTGAAGATGATCTTCAACTCCTTGTAATTAATGTCTACACGCAACAAAATTGATATAATCTATATAGCAGCAAAATGAATGACGTCATCAAGTAATTTAATAATTTGTAATGATAAGTGAAAATGATTATAAATTGAAATTCAAGCAAGAACAAGCATACCTCCAATAAAACTGGAAAAAATAAGAGGATCAAATTTCAATAAAGTTGCATGTAAAAAATGAGCTTATGGGGATTTGTGTGTGAATATATTAATTAAAAATGGCTGAAAATTTGGGAGTATAATGGAGTGATTGAAGAAGAACAGCTGGAAATTAGGAAGATAACTGATATATTACTTTAATAGGGATATAATAATAAAATGCTTTTGGTTAGGGTTTTAATTGCCAAAATTGGGTGTTACGCGCCGCCGCCATTATTGCTGGTCAACAGAAAGTTTGTGCCAAATTTTGGTCGGTCAAATGTCAATCAATCATTGGATATTTACATTTCCATCTTTTGTTTTTACTAGAGTATGTTGAGGCGTACTGACAGCATAGAATAGGAAATTTGTACTCAAAATAAATAAATAAATAAATAGATAGATTGTACTCTATAGATTTTTATATAAAAAATTTGTTGCTTGATTGGTGAATTTTTTTTTTTTTGAAAAATATATTAGTATTTATTAAAGATTAATGATAAATTTTAGTAAAATGGAGATTGTGTTACTGAAATTTTATTACTCTCTCGATTTCATTTTATGTGATGCATTGGGTACGAAATTTACGAAAGATATAATTACTTCTTAAATTTATGGTATAAAGCAAATTATAGATGTATGAGCGTAAGTTTAAATTATTTTTAAATATGAAAAAGTATCAATATTTTGGACAAATTAAAAAGAAAAAATTGTTACATAAAATGGGGGAGAGAGTATTATATAGTGAAGATAACATGCAAGTATTTGTTGAAAATGGTATATATAAAACTAAAAGTTAGGATAATTGTAAAAATAAAATAATTTTTTTCCAAAGTGACGGATATTATCTGCCTTTTTAAAAATAGAAGATATCATCTGCCTTTTTTGATGAAAAATAATTTTTGTTAACCAAATATCAAAACTTTATTTCTTCATGTAAATTGTTTTCTAGAAAATAACTATGCCAAGAATTTACGATTTTTGGGCCAGTGGGAACAAAGGACGCTGCAATCATAATTCTTTGACAGCTTCTGCTGTCTTCATATGGAAATATAATTTTTTGAATATATATTTATTAGAGTATATAATTGAGTCGAAGTTATGAATGCATTCCAACTGCTGTCTTATATAGTACTAACATTAATGACATTTGGTGAGTAAAGTAAGAACCAAATATTCACGAATACAAAATCTTAATATATATGTGAAATATAATGAATAATCTATACGTATGTTTGGATTATTAATGATAAATTTTTGGAGAACATTTTGTGGGCGGTTGGACATAAGAATGCTGAAATTCCCAAAAAGTGGAAAAAAAAATGGTATTTGAAAATTAGAGTTGTGTTTGGACATGAATATAATTTTGGATTGTTTTTGAAGTTTTGTGAGTGATTTGAGTGAAAATTTTGAAAACCAGCTTTTTGGAATTTTTCAAATTTCGAAAAATTCCAAAATTCATCTTCAAGAAAAAACTGAAAATTTTATAGCCAAACACTGATTTCAAATTTCTCCAAAAAAGTAAGAAATTCTTATGTCCAAACGGACTCTTGTGTTAATTTCTGTGTAAAACTGTGTTTGGATTGTATTGATTTCCGAAAAAAAATTCGTCTGACTTTTCGGAAAAAGAACATCTCTCCTTTTTAATTTTTACGTAGATGCCATTTTATTATTCCCACCATGAAAAAAAAGAGTATATAACAGAATATGGATGGATTTTCATAGGGGAAAAAGAAAAAGATAGAATAATCATTTTCAAACCTTTTTCTTTTTCTTTATCATAAAAAATGACACTTAAAATGCAGGTAGTCAATGTGATTCTCATGACAGTGACATTTTTATGTACATTATGTCAGAATCTTACTTTATATTGTACCAATAACATCAATTTCATAATAAAGTTATACCAATGTCCACGATCAACTTAATTTATTATGAAATAAATCTCAGCCAAGAAATGTGAATTGATATATTTTTCATTCTTAAATCTCTATATGCCTAGAGAATGACTAGTCAAACAAAACCATTATATTTATGGCATTGCTGAAATCATAAGGAAAACGAGAGAAAGCTTTTATCGAAATTGGTTAACTCATATATTTAGGTTACCTACATTTTGGTGTTATAATGTACAAAAAGCTTCATTACATAAAAAGTTTAGTATTCCATTATGTTAGATAATTATAATACTCCTATGTAGTTATCTTGAATTGCGATATGAATCTAATCCTATCTAAATAGATGTTCTTAGTTACCAGACGAGGGGTTCTCTTTTAGTGTCAAGTCGTCTTCAACTCTTTTTTCTTTACTTCTTCCGCATCGAGGATGATAATTGGATAGAATATCCTTAAATAAAGAAAGGGACATATTAATTAAGTTTTTGGCTCGCAATAAAGTTAGGGTCTTAATACAGCAACTAATAATCATATTTATCCACCTCTCCAGATACAATATCTTGAGTACCTATATATAGATGGTGATCACATCGTTCTATTTGCACTCAGAAGATAAAAAAAGGTGAACTCATAAGTATCACAGTTTTTACTAAGGGAAAGTAACAATTAAGATTCTTGCGATTTTGTATATATATTCTAATTTTATTTCTCTTTATCTAGATTAACATATTTGATACCTTTAATTAAACTAATTGGTATCACTACTTTAAAATATGGCGATGGAAATGAACAAAGAGGGAGAGAATTTCACACTTTGTATTTCTAGAAAAGCATTGGTCAACAAGATGAGGATTCCTTTGACAAAATGGAGCATGAAGCAAGTTGACCATTTTCAACTCCATTTCACAAAACAAAATTTTACAAGTTTAGATTCCCCTTTTCATGATTCTTCCCTAAGTTTAATACAGAAAAATTTAGTTGACTATTTTATGAATCTGCTTTGCAAAATCATTAGGGTATCATCAATAATACCAACTAATTTTATATCCGAGGCAAATATAGTAGACGAATCATAATCTAAAACCATACTATCTCAGTAAAAGAAAAAACTATATGTATGGTTTTAGCCTCTAAATTTTTATTTTTACTAAAATGTCCAATAGGATATATACCTCAAGCTCCGCGAAGGTTTCCGTCTATTATGACAATTTTCTTTCTTTTTATGAGAATAGCTGCCCTGCTGCTTCGACCTTTCTACTTTCACAAGGTATGAGTAAGGTCTGCGTACATTATCTTCTCCGGACCCTATCTGTAAGATTACACTGGGTTTATTGTTGTTGTTGTTGTTACCTACCCTACTTCCTCTGCTCTCGCTTGGGCCCGGGAATCCTTTAAGGTCTTTATTTACCTTTTTTCATCCCCTCCTCCCTCAAAACTATAAATTAACAAACACTATTAGAAGAAGAGCAGCGGTATGCTGGCCAAAGGAATGCATCTCAATAGACATTATTAAGCTTTTCGTATATTTCACAAAGATGTAGAAGAGATTGCAAATATTGTACGATGATACACAAGTATCTTTTCTGTTTCAATATTTGAGCAGACATTTGAATGTTGGTGGCTCGTGATAACTGAATGTACAAAATACAATAAAAGTTCCTCTGCCATTTTCCACGATTCTTTATCAGCCCTCCCATGCAAATATGATTTTTGAAAAACCGTACCTTTTATTAAAATTAATTTTTAAGTAATATTTGGCAGTGAGAAAGAACATATGGTAGTAGTTGTTATGATAGGAATGATGAAAAATTAAAGAAAACTTCCACTATGAACGGAGAAGTCACAAACTTTCGTTGGAAGAAGATAAAAAGGCATTTCGTAATGAAAAAACAAAAATATTAATGTAAAATAGTTTTAGGGACTAAAATCACATATTTAGTTTAATCAAAGGTTATATGTGTTAAGTTTATTAATACAAGGATCAAAACTGGAATAACACAATATTTGAGGACCAGAACAGCATTTATGTACACTATCTTTCAGATTGGTACAACTAACCTAATTACATATTCAGCCAAAAAATACTCATTAAAAAAAGAACACCAAAAGATATCTAAAAATGACTCTCTTTGCAAAAAATACAACTATCTTTCAGATTGGTACAAGTAATAATATTGTATAATTATTATTTTTTTGAAATTAGCTTTTATATTTTGAAATTTTAAATCTTTTTACATCATCAATTTAAGAGATCTTATACTACTTCTATTCCATTTTATGTGTTTTAGTTTGATCAAACACGGTGTTTAAAAAAAGTGAGGAAGAATTTTAAATCTTGTTAAGTGCACCAAAATGCAGTTGAATGTGGCATCAAATATGCTTGGAGTTACTAAGCTTGCATTTGAATATCGATTTGGTTGAAAATTGAAAACAATAAATTTTTGAAGATGAGAAGAAAAATAATTTTTGAAAATTAAAATTGTGTTTGGACATGCATTTTAGAAGACATTAAAAACTTCAAAAACTACGTTTTTGGGATTTGAAGATTTTATTTTTAAAATATGCCAACAAATAATTAAAATATATAAATAAATATTTAAAAATGAAATTTGAAAAAAAAATATTAAATTTATGATCAAACGGAAGCTAAATATAAAAAAATACTCTTTTTAAATAAATTAAAAAGGATAGCTTCTGTGTGTAAGACACATAAATTGAAAAAGAATTTTTTTTAAAAGGAAACCATTTTTGTCCACATTTGTGAATACAAATTTGCAACGTAGCCCCTGCTTAGGACATGTGGAAAATGCTTTAAATACACGCTATTCTACACTTCACACACCGTTCCAAAAGAAAAACACACTATATTCACAAATAGTAGAATTCTCTAGTCCTTACTACACTACAAAAAAGCTGTAGATCAATGGCTGTTGAAATCTGTGTCAAGGCTGCTGTGGGTGCCCCTAATGTCCTCGGAGACTGTAATTTCTTCCTCTCTAAAAATTTATACCGTTGTTTTAGTTTTTTTTTTTTTTGTTGTGTGTGTGTTTTTATTTGTGTAAATTTTTATGAGTTTGGTTTTATTTTTTCTGAATTTCTGACGGTTTTGTGATACTAAGGTCCATTTAGCCAAATAGTACTTCTGAGTCTGTAATCTGTTGGTCTTTAAAAGATTTATACCCTTGTTTTAGTGTGTGTTTTCTTTTTTTGTCTGCAAATTTTCATGGCTTTTGTCTGAGTGTTTCTGAAATGTGTGATGCTTTCTTGATTCTAAGCTCCATTTAGCGAAAGGGTACCTCTGAGACTGTAATATCTTGCTATTTAAGATTTTAACCCTTCTTTTAGAGAGAGTGTGTGTGTGTGTGACGTTTTATTTTTTGGTCAAATATTTATGGCTTTGGTTTTAATTATTCTGATTTATGATGGTCTTGTGATACTAAGGTCCACTTAGCCAAAGAGTACTTCTGGACTGCAATTATCTCTTGCTCTTTAAGATTTATACCATTGTTTTAATGTGTGTGTGTGTCTGATGGGTAAAATTTCAGTTTTTTTGGTTTGAGTTTTTTTTTACTAAGCTCCATATAGCCAAAGGGTACTTCTGAGACTGTAATTTCTTGCTCTTTAAGATTTTTATCCTTGTTGTTGTGCGTGCGTGTGTGTAAATTATGATGGATTTGGTTTCAATTTCTCTGAATCTGTGATGTTATTATGATCCATGGTTCATTTTGCCAAAGGGTTGTTCTGACATTGCAGGAAGTGTGTGTGGTTTTTCTTTTGGGTCAAATTTTCATGGCTTTGGTGTTTATATTTTCTGAAATTTTGATGGTTTTGTGATACTTAGGTCCATTTAGCCAAAGGGCACTTCTGACATTGGAGGAAAAGAAAGTGCCTTACAAGATGCACTTGATCAATGTTAGTGACAAGCCCAAATGGTAATAATTGGAAGCAAAATTACTCTTTTGATTCCCAAGATTACATTTTTTTTAACTCTGATAGTGAAGATTTTGCGTTGGGGTTGTGGTTTCAGGTTCTTGGAAGTGAACCCAGAAGGGAAAGTCCCAGTGATCAAGTTTGATGAAAAATGGATCCCTGATTCTGATGTTATTGTTGCGCTCCTTGAAGAGAAATACCCAAATCCCTCTCTCTCTACTCCATCCGAATTTGCTTCTGTGTATGTTTTCTTACTATTTTTTCCCCATATGTTTAAATTAGTTTCTACGCTGACCACATTGCATATTTTATTGCTGCATCTCTGCATTTACTTGCTATAGATAAATTGAAACTTCATGTTATATGTATCACAAGTTATACAAAAAGAAGAAGTTAATTTTGTAACATTATCTATTTGTCCCTTACTCCCTATTGATAGTAAAAGTGGAAGCATTTTACAGAGTTGCTGTTTTCCAGTTACATTAACATGGCATTTTACCTTAAAAGTTCTGCGAAAAAGTTTCTTGTTTTAACTTCCCCAAGTTTAATTCTTTTTCTTTGGGATGAAGTAAATTGTTAATCCGCCTTAGGTTTGGGCACATTTTGCGAGGTACATTTATGCTTCTGTACATGATATGAATAGGATCTCCTCCTTCCTTGCACCATCAAAACAACTACAGCTCGGTTCAAAATAGTTGGTTCGGGTTTATGAATCCTCAATATACATTTGCTCCATTTGGGCATATTTCGTTCAAACACTCAGTAATATTTATCCCTTTGGTCAAACTAGTTCAAACTACCTAGCCTCATCTCCCTAATGCTAACGTTTCAGATTAATCCGGTACCTTTATTTGCTTTTTACCCCCTAAAATTCTTTGGACTATCTGTTCCCTGTAAATTTTGTTGATATTTAAAAAAAGGCTTTGCTTTCTGAAACTTTTTACTCCTTAAGTTACTAGGGCAAGACTTAGTCTACACTCTTTGTTGTGTCCCCCCTNCCCCCATCCCCCACCCTGGTCGGGTTAAAATTTAAATGAGCTCTATTATAGTTCTCTTCACTTTTATGCATTGAGTTTCTTTAGATCATGCAAGAACTCTTGCTTCCTGTGTTCCAAATTGAATTTACATATTTTGTCTTTGTCTATCTCAAATGTCTTAGAGAGCATTTGGTTTAAAATTTTGAAGAAGAGTTTCTGAAAAACAATTGTTTTTCCTTTCTTGTCGTTTTGGTTGATAAGCAGTTCTTACTACACTCTAAAAGAAGTTTTGCAAAAGCTCTTTCAAAATTTTGAACCAAGCACCACCTTTTACATTTTAATTACTACATACAAGATTATCTTACTTGTTTGCAGAAACAAAAAAGTTACCACAGTGCTTCATATTTTTCACATATAGATTCTCATACTAATATGCCAAGTCAAAATGAAGATTCAATAAGGAGCAAAGGAGTAATTAGTTTGTTCGTCTACCGAGTGGTTCCTTTTACATGATTGTCTCTATACTGTGTTTGTCCGTCTGTTGCTGTTTCCTTTTTATTCCCTTGATGTCAATGGGTGGAATATCATCTGTAACTTACCTGAGATTACAGGGGCTCGAAAATATTTCCTACCTTTGTCTCATTTCTGAAGAGCAAGGATGCTAGTGATGGTACTGAGCAGGCTCTGCTCGACGAATTAAAGGCTTTGGAAGAGCATCTCAAGGCTCATGTATGCTTTTTTCACTGAGCTGCCTGATATTTTTTATTTTAGTATGTTTCTCTTATTTTTACAGTGATGTGAACTTCAGTTGGTGGGGAATTTCTTCAGGGACCATATGTCAATGGGGCGAATATTTGTTCAGTCGATCTAAGTTTGGCTCCAAAACTGTACCATCTCGAGGTGGCTCTTGGACACTTCAAGAAGTGGAGTGTGCCTGAAAGCTTGAGTCATGTGCGTAATTACATGAAGGTATGCACTCTCTCTTCTCGGTGCGTCTCTGTGCGTAATTTACTTTCAACAACATGAATTCCTAATTTTAAGTGAGCACTAATTCCATTTGATGATTTCTTTACTACAACAACAACAAAAAAACCCAGTGTAATGTATGAGGGAATAATTTAAAGGGAATGTATGGAAGCAGTGATATGATCAGAATCATCTGTTTCAGTTGCACAAAGAAGACATATTTGGGACAGCTTATACTGGCTGTCAACCATTTAACAGTCTTCTTTCTCCTCCAGGAACTCTATATTTTCATTAGGGTTTCCATGCTTATAGTTCGTTTTATTTCTCATCTGTGTTCTAACATGTTGGCAGTCTTTTATATTTTTCTTTAAAACAATTAATATAATGTATAAATCACATTAACTTTTTAATTTTCCTGCCTAATTAAAACTTTTCACATAAAATGGGACAGCGGTAAGTATACAATTTTGTGTATGGTATAAAACCTTTCACATGTTAGATGCTGATTTTATGATTCCCTATTCTTTTGCTTCACGCTGTCTATGTTTACGAAGGGGAGCTTTGGCATAATTGTTAAAGTTGTTGCCATGTGACCAAGAGGTCACGGGTTCAAGTCGTGGAAACAACCTCTTGCAGAAATGCAGGGTAAGGCTGCGTGCAATAGACCCTTGTGATCCGGCCCTTTCCCGGACCCCATGTATGGCAGGAGTTTAGTGTATCGGGCTGCCTTTTTACTCTGTCCATGCTTAGCTTGTGCTAGGATGTTATTTCTTCCAATTTTTCGTAACAAAAGCAAAGTGGTGCAAGAGTTGACACCTTTTTGTTCTCCTTCTGCAGTTGCTCTTCGAGCGAGAGTCTTTCCAGAAAACCAAGGCTGCAAAAGAGTACATCATTGCAGGATGGGCTCCAAAGGTCAATCCATGAACCGACTCAAAATTATGATCCCGTTTTTTCGCGGGTAGGTAGCAGTTGAGGATGCAGCATAATGAAATATGAATGTATCTCGTAAGATCTAAAAGTTGTTACTGTTGGATCATGCTTGTACTGCTCTTTATGTTCTAATAAATAAGTCATGTTCTAAAACTCGTTTTAGCTAATGAAATATGCTGGTTAGAGTTTTGCTATACAGAATTGCTAGATAGAGATAGCCAAGTTTTCAGTGAAATATGTCTTGATTAAAAATAGATATAGTCAAGTCAGCTGAAGGAATGTTACATTAGCACTCTTTTTTCCCAGTAAACTAGAAATTGCTAGAGCTTTGCACTCGTCATTTGGTATATATAAAGAGAGAATATGCTCACTTGAAGAAAATAATAAAGGTTTCGTATTATGTATGCTTACTGTAGAGGGAAGGAGTTCCGATTTAGAGGAGCTTCCTCACCTGTTCAATTGCTTAAATAGTTGAATGTTTGCTGTCGGGAACTTATTATCTTGTTGTTGTTACTGCTTCTTTTTTTTCATCTTTTCTTGAGTCGAGAGTCTGTCGGAAACAACCTCTCTTCTTTCTCAAGGTAGGGGTCCTCTTTCCTTGAGCCGAGAGTCTATCGGAAACAACCTCTAGGGGTAAGGGCTGCATACTTACTACCCTTTTCAGATCCCACATGTAGGATTGCAATGGATTTGTTGTTGTTGTTCGTTGTTGGGAACTTGAAGACCTAGGCTTGGATTGTTCTTGATCGCAAGTTGTCATTAATTGTTGTCGTTTTATTTATTTATTTTTGATAGTGATGGTGTTCAGGCTTCCTGGACAAATCAACTATTCTGTTGGGTACATTATTTGTTGTCTCTACTGGGATTTGAACACGACTTTTCAAGGTTTCACCTACTTTATTCACCATTAGACCATACCCATTCACGCGCTCAATGTTATCGTTTTGTTAGTTCCTTTTTCTGAACTCGAGCCCCAGGCAATGGCCCTCGCTCCTCATTCTCACTGATGCTATCCCTCTCCACCATTGTTTACCTCCTTGTTGCTCGTCCTCTCTTTATTTGGACCACAAGGGATAACTTTGTGAAATCTTTTCATTTGTTGGGTCGAGTCGAGATATTCTTTTGAAGTGTGGAGAAACAACTTACAAGCTTGGATTTTCTTTTTGTTTGGACAGAATATATAAAATTTGAATAAGGTTATTAACAATCAAATGGCAATATTGTCCTTGAAGTGAAGAGGGAATATACCAAAATGGCTTAATTTTCATGTTTGCTTTGGAAATCAGAGAAGGAGCTAAGTGTTGCTTTGGGAGGATTTCAAATTATTTACTGTCAATGAAACCTGTAACTCACCCTAATAGACTCAGATCCTCTGGCTTGAAATCAAATTTATTACATTTTCTTAGTTTGAATCCTGTCATTTTGAAAGATGGTTAACTGGAAAGAGCCCTAAAAGTCATCGCGTCTGCTATAAGCGACAACTATGCCTCAGTCCTGAGTTAGTCAGTCCCGAGCTAGTCGGGTTCGTTGGTATGATTCCTCACTAACTAAATTTCTTTTTTACACTCCGCGTGTGTGAGCTGGTTCATATTGCCGGTCTCAAGCTCGGATTATAGAGGAGAGTTGCGGGAAGTGAACAACCGTAAGACTTAATCAATTTATGATAAATCTTTATAATACAGAATCCCGATTATTCTGAATTCATATTCCAAAGGTGCATGACTGCGACATGAAAATGAATAAGTAGTCCCCACTATGTTACACTTTATTAATTGCTTAATAACAACAAAATCACAAGTCACATGAATCTTGTGCAGACTACAAGACAACTAGAAATCCAAATTCACTAGACAACACCTTACAGAGATGACAATTGAAGATTCCAAGGGGCCATGACACATCCTTAGCAGCTCCTATTTAACAAGCCTAGTCTCAATCACCCACCCTTCTTTTGAGATTTTGGCTCATCAATACCAACTTGCCTGAACAGTACTCTGTTATATCTACTCAACTTGGGATTTGGGAGCTGAATGAATACACATATAGTACAATAAACATTTCAATAATAGACCATAGTACCATAATAGACTCTTGATAGGAAGGTATGGAGGTCCAGGATTAGGGTAGTAGAGTAGGTAGTTTAGAGTGTTCATAACAATAGTATTGACACACACTCTCGCTTTCTGTTGGTAGTAGGTTTTTATGACTAATCATTGTTTTCTTCCATTGTTGATCACCTTACTATCTTGTTGTTTTTTTCCTGCTTTTATATGACTTTGGTACTATCCCTTCTTGTCTATATTTTCACTAATGTGGTGCATATACTTTCCTGAGCCGAGGGTCTATTGGAAATAGTCTTCTATGCTCACAACGTAGGGATAAGGTCTGCGTACACACTACCCTCCCCAGACCCCACAGTGTGGGATAATACTGCGTATGTTGTTGTAGTACTACTCAGGGGCGGCGCTAGCCTTATAGCTACGGGTTCGGCAGAATTCAGTAGCTTTGATTCTAACCCTGTATTTGTGTTAAAAGATTCATTGAATATAGATAAATAGTCTAATTAGAACTCAGCACGTAGAAAAGATTATGATCCAGAACTCATAAACTAAAAATTCTGGATCCGCCTCTCGTACTACTTCCATAGTTCTATTGACGCATCGTGGTAAACCATGATCTTAGAGCTAGCCAGCGTATTCAACAGGAGTGTAACCTTATTATATATATACATTTCAATTCTGCATATGTATAAACTGGTCGAGCAGAAAGCAACAGAACCAGTCATAGATCCCCATCTGGATACATTTCAATTTTTGGCATATGTATATACTGTTCGAGCAGAAAGCAACAGAACATTACTATCAACAATATATCACTTTAGCACGTTTATATGTTATTCCTTGTGTAACTCCTTCAAACGATCTTAGTCTGAATTTTTTGTATGATCATTGTCCAATATCATTTTCTGAATCATTGCACTTGTCTCTTCCTCTGTAATGAAATCTTTGTTATGTGATTGAGCATATGTCTCAAAGAACTCCCTATTCTCCTTCTCTAACTCATTCCACACTGCAAAATACAGGAAATTTCCTATTAGCAATATGATTTTGTTAGCTTTAACTAATCACTACCCTTGAAAAGCTCTTCATTCTTATATAGTCAAACCTCTCTATAACATTCTCGTTTGTTCTGATATTTTTTGGCTGCTAAAGTGAAGTTCTATCATAGAGCATATTATAGCATAACATAAAAGTTAGTTTCGAAAAAAAGTTGGCTTTTATAGTGAATGACTGTTATATAAGGATGTTGTTATAGAGAGGTCTTACTATTATAGTCATAGTAATTGTTAAAAGTAGTCTTAGCTTATGCTTTCCAAGTCTCGCATAGTGCAAATTTGTGCATGCATGTGTAGGGATAGGAACAACATAAGATCACATAACATCTACATAATGACGGAAAGGAAATTTAAACTATTAGGTCACTTGATTAAAAGATAATTACAAGTAACCGTTTATAATAAGTGAAACTAATAACTGGAGAAAGTAAAGCAGGTAACTTGCTACTAGAATATAATATGTTAAAATGCACTAATAATATAAATTTTTTTTTTGTATATAGTCAAACCTCTCTATAACAATATCTCTATATAATAGTCATTCATAATAAAAATCAAGTTTTTCTCGAAATCGATTTTTTTGTTGTTATTAATATATGACCTATATAAAAATACTTTACTGTAACAACCAAAAAATATCGGAACAAACAAGACACGTTATATAGAGGTTTGGATGTATAAGTTAAATCCGATGAGAAATTACAGCACAAACCAGTAGCAGTAATGACAGGTTTGATATTTGCATGCTTGGAAAGGGCCTCCATGCACTCCTCTTTGGTCATGTGGAATATTAAGCACTTCTCTATTAGGTGATGTACCTAAATGAAGGATAATCAGGTTAGTATATATGGTTGGAACCAAAAACAACAAAATATACCACAATAAATGAGATTTCAAAATTCCAAAAGCAAAATCAACAAAAGTAAATTTGAGACAGTTAAATCTGAAGTTGATCTTTCTCGCGTGAAAGCGATCAGAATTCGTAAACAAGAATTATGCAACTTTTTATTTACCATGTATATGTATGAAGCAGAGGAATCACCCATAATAGTTTAGTATCTGATGATCTTCAGCGAAGCAAAATCAAGAAAATATTAGTATATGAGATCAGATTGTACATGAATTGTGATGTTTGATAAGAGATCATGAGCTGAGGAGTGAAATGGAATAAAATTATATAGTGTACAAAAGGAGAAGTATAGTAGTTGTAGGGACAAGAATCCCACGTGAGAGATAAATTGTAATTGGTGGAGAGGGGATTAGAAGAGATTTGTGAAATGACTATTTCTTTGTCTTGTAATATTCTCATAGGCAGCAGCCTCCACGTGATGATTTTGTCCTGCCATTGAGAAATAACCTAATGTGGGCAAAAGTTTAAAAATCCAGTAACCATCCATAGAAAGTGGTTTTAGCAATTGAAAAAATAAGACATACAACCTGCTATAAAAAAAAAAAAAGCAATATGATATATAAAATATTTCGCGTTTTTGTAGGGTCTGAGGTAGGGTCGCATTCCAAGGGTGTATGATGTAGACAGTTTATCATAATGCAAGCATTAGTGGCTACTTGCGTAATAGACAACCTGTTATATTAGGTTAAAATTTAAACAATTCAGACTCTACTTTTGGTACTGCACTCGTCTCGACGCGACATGGGTGTGGGGGTGGGTGTGGATGTGGGATCCATAATATAGTCAACTAATTTTGAGTACTTTGACCACAATCAACAGAGAAATTCGGGATAGATACAATGATTTTTTAAATCGAAACAAAAGCTAGGGTAAAATTTAAAAAAAATGAAATACTTTGTATATAGAAATTTCTATGTCAGTCCTTTTCCTATTTATCTCCTTTTCGAATTCTCCTATTGATTAATATTTTCTTCTTCTCGGAATATCTTGGAAGTTTTTCGCATAATTTAGACATATTCTTATAAGTCTACTTTTTGATATTTGAATTATTTTTAGCCAAATTTCTATATTTGTATCCATACCTGGATCCGTACCCCTGAATCTTAAAATTTAGATCACGAAGAATCCAACTTCTAGATCCGCACCCGTATTGGACAACCACACCCGAGTCCCAACAACTTAGGTTAAATTACATTGATAGTGTAAAATTTTTTATCATTGACCAATCAGTTGTAAACATATGTGTCTGATTGAATGATTATACTACAGGTACATTCATAACTCACTAGATTTTCTGATCTTCTTTCGTTATCAAAAAATGGAGAGGACTAATGCAATTAGTTGTCAGCACAAAATAACATTTGACCCGCAAGAATTGTAAGCTTTTGTAAACCTTCAACTTGGTGGTCTTGAACTCTTTTAAACTGCTAATGTATCTTTCAACTCATTTTTCAGCTTATTGTCTTGTCATGCTTTGCAAGTTGCGACCGAGGTTTGACTTTTGTATAAACGGTCTTGGATTCGTATGGTAATTTTAGACTTAGACGTATGTTCGGATTTGAATTCATATGTTCCTAGAAGATTTTGGCTTTATATGACGAAAGTTGGCAATTTAAAGGTTTTGAAATTTCATAAGTTTGACCGGCAATTGACTTTGAGGGTATCGGGGCTCGGATCATTGTTTTGGAAGTCGGAATATGTTCGTTTTGTCATTTGGAACTTGTGTGAAACATTTGGTCTCATTCCGAGTTGATTTGGTAGGCTTCGGACGCGTTAGACGAAGTTTGAAGGTTTGAAAGTTAAGAGAATGATCTTCAGTCTTCGATTCTTGGTTTTGATGTTGTTTATGATATTTCGAGATTTTGAATACGTTTGGATAATGTATTTGGACTTATTGATAGGATTGGACAAGGTCCCGTGGGGACCGAGTGTGATTCGAATTGATTTCAGATCATTTTCCTCATGTTTGGATTGCTGGTGTTAGATAAGAATCGCGTTCGTGTTTGTGGTATCGCGTTCAGAAAGAGTAAGTGAGGCGAGATGGCATTGTTCAACCCGTTCGCGAATAAAGGTGATACAATGGAAAGGTTAGTGTTAGAATTTCTAGCCTTTGCAACTTGGCCAAATCCTCTCTCCGTTTCAATCAAGTGTGCCAGTTCGTAAAGACCTTTAAGTCATGTTTTGAATGTGAATTGTTTGCTTGAGAGAACTAATCATATGGCTCAAAGAATATACTGCCCCACTACCATCAGCTTCTACACAAGAAGACGAGCCAGTAAGAAGATTGGGTGTTTTTCGTAGAGGACCATTTATTTTAATCAGGTTTTCTATTTATTTGGTATACTACTTGTATACGGGAGCTTTTTCCTTTGTTTACTGGAATCCCTTTATTACTTGATCAAAAAGGACAAAGGGACTAAGTTGTCTCAATTCCCAAGTCTACACACAAAGGTGTCGAGTAAGGAATTGGCTAGTGTATGAGGTAAAATTGATGAATAACATGTGGACGTTCATCGAGTGGACACGTGACAGTAAAGATAGGTAAAGTATGAGTCAGAAAATAGCTGGTACCAGTTACGAGCATGTGATCGGTATTGTGTGAGTTTCGAAGACATTAGAACCGGAGACGAAAGTTTGAAATGTAAGATATCGGTTGAATAAGACAACATTCAAGGAGGAGCCGTTTCAAAGAATCTTTGCATTTATACTCAACCGTTATGCAACTATCAAAATGAGTCTTTATTCATATTAAAGAGGAGCTTAATTTTGTGATCTTATCTTCTTGAATTTAGCTATAAATATAGGAATTTGAACTCATTGTAAAAAACTTGCATGAGAAATGGCTAAACTTACTCTTTTATTCTATTAACATCTTTTTGCTTAGTATTATGTTCTTGATCTTGTTTATGGAGAAGCCCAATTCACAATTAGGCTTGTATTATCCAAGTATTCTTAATTAATTTATTTTTGTTCTTAGTTATCTTATATTTTTGGATCAATTTAATTCACATGTCTATAAACAACGTTACAAATTCAATTGTACCGTTTTACGGGTAAACATGAACTAGCACACCTCAAGATTGAACCAATCTAACAAGAAAGCACGATAAAAATAGCACGGTATAGAAAGTTTTCGGACTGGTCATTTAAAAATGAGAAATTTTCATAAAGCACTATCTTTTAGTAGTAATTAGTCATCTATAGATACCATTTGCTATATTACGGATTATAGATACCTTTTATGTGGTTATAAGATGTATTTGATGTATTTAAGTTATTGTATTCATGAATACAGTAGCAAAAATAGGCGTGAATCAAGGAAGTCTAGCTAATCAGTTGTTGTATTCGACTGTATTCATGGAGTGAAACATGGGATTACAATTGAACAAATTATTGTATTCGATTGTATTCGACTATATTCACGGCGTGAAACATGAGATTACAATATTTTTAAAACGAAAGTGAATCAATTAACATAATAGACTCCTAATATAACTCAACAAACTCAATTATAGCAAAATTTTGTATTTTCAGTTATAAAAAAATTCTCAACCGAAAAATACCCAAAAACATAGCAATCTTCAGAGAAATTATATAATACATCTGAATACATATATTAATTAAAAAAAACATATGAATACATTCATGGCATATAACGAGATAGTGAATACAATGAAATACATAGAATACAACGGGACACATTGAAATACAATGAAAAAAACAGTGAATACAATGAAATACATGGAATACAACGAGATACATTGAATTCAATGAAAAAAAGATAATGAATACAATGAAATATATGAAAAAATATTGAAATATATTAACACAAAATAAGTTGCTCAGCCCCAGACTCCGCCATTTTTGTTCTAGATAATGTATTACTGTATTGCTTGTTCACAGCTTGATATAGCTCCAAAGCAGGAAAAATTTCGGTGAGTTTCGGATCCAAAGCAAGCACATTACCACCATATTGACAATTATCTCTCGAAATCTATATCAATTGAGACCACCATAGTCCAATGGTATTAGCAGAAGTTTTCTGCACAACAAGTGTAAGTTCGACTCCAATTACCACCGAAACATAGCAAGTTTCGGTAAGTCAAAGCAAGCACGAAGCTTTTCTAGGTCGTCGTCGGTGACGCTCTTCGATCGGCGAGCTTCGTGCGGTAATTTCCTTTTCGCTTGAGCCAGGCTTCTTCTCGAAGCATATCAGGAGACCATGATTTCTGCTTGAATAGCAGCGGTAGAGCTTCCCGTTCCGACACGGCGTCTGCAGAAAATTACACGCGCCGCCGCGTTGGAATGAAAAGCTTGATTGAGATTTTATGCAGATCGGAATGAAAAGAAAATAGTGTGGGTGGGAGGAATTGGAAGAAGAGAATGAGATGTATCAAAGTAGAGAGAGAAAGAAAATAGTGTAACTGAATAACGTATTTAGTGGCTTAGGGCTAGGAGGTAGCCAAAATTAAATATTTTGCTATAAACCTTAAAAGGTATCTATAGAATATAATTTTTTTAAATGATATTTGTTTAAAATAAATAAGGTGTTAACTTTTGCTATAGGAAGTAAAAATTCCTTTAAAATTAGCCAGCGTTTACGAAGTCAATGAAAAATAACCACTATTTTGCTGCAACACAGACCGGTCCAGCATAATATACTGGAGTTCGGTGCACCTGTGTATGAACTCCAGCATATTATGTTGGACCGATATACTTTGATGACTCCAGTATAATATACTTGAGACTGGAGCACCGATGCTTCAAATTCCAGTATATTATACTGGACAATTATACTTGCTGGAACTCCAGTATATTATGCTGGAGTTCTAGTGTACTTATGTTGGAACTCCATTATATTATGCTGGAGTTCCAGCATACTTATCCTGGAACTCCAGTATAATATGCTGGAGTTCAAACATACTTATGCTGGAACTCTAGTATAATATATCTGGCGTATTTTTCGAGTTTTGAACAGTATTTTCGCTCAAATTTATCTTTACATAAAAAATGGCTAAATTTCGATTACTTTTGAAATTAGGCTATTTTTGAACGTCCAGTTGTAAATCTGGCTATTTTTGAATTTCTCCCGAAAGCACGTCACCACAACTTTACGTTCCAAATAATTTGGACCAAATTTCTTGCCATGTCAACAACATTGTTGGCAGTCCCAACTCCCACGACACGCTTCAACACATTGTTGGTGAAAAATCACAAGGACAATTCTTCAAGCAAAGGCAGTATATCTCGTGCTCTTTAATTTTTTATAGTCCAACAATTAGTGTTATTCTCCGTCCAGAATATAATATAGTCTCATAACGTCATGTGACTCAAACTGACTCTGACTTTAACCGGAGGCTGATGCAATATATTATTATCGGGTTCAATTAAATCTATTACTATTGACGCGGAACATAAATTTATGTATAAAAATTTATTAAAATTATAATAAATAGTAGATACAAACCTATAACTTTAAAAATATAATGAATTCAATGCTAAAAACCTTAAAATTTGAACCTCATAAAATTTAAATCCTGAATCCGCCTCTTTGCTTCAACTACTAAAATTCTTGTTTCTGTTGTGTTGGACTACTTATATCTCTCTTTCACCTACTTTCTCATTCACGACTATACCTCTTTCTTCATGCTTCATCAGTCATCACAACGAGAAAGGCTCCTGTTTAGGTTTAGTAGTTGGGTATATTAGCACATAATAGTATTTACTGTTGTTGACTATATGTTACTGACTATATTTTAGTGTAGCTTATATTTTGAATTTATTTTGTTTTTAATATTATAGGAGTTTATTGTTTAGTTCATTGATTTTTTGTTTGTTCCACTATACGAGGAGTACTATCTCAGTAACTCTGTTATAGGCTTGTGTATATATTCAATTCATGGTCATTCAATAAAATCATTTTTTATTTAATTTTGCTCATTCATTATATGATCAGAGTAGTCTCTTTGACTCTCACAAGCTTCTTTTTCGGTCCTCTGACTACCACCACAAGCTCATACTTAAAATGTCCCCAAATATAACAAATGTCGATTCCACTACTAGCAACTCTAGTATTATTGTTCAGTTCAGTTCAATCCGATGGCGCAACTACAAATAAAGCTTGTTACCAGCCATAACTTTGCGTTATGGAAAGCCCAGATTTTGTGCTCATGCGTGGGCACAATCTGTTTAGTCATCTTGATGGTTCTTCTCCCACTCCTTTGACAACTATCACACAAAACGATTGACAAGTAGAGAATCTTAACTACAACACTTGGTTCTGTTCAGATCAGTTGATCCAGTATACCATAATGGCTTCTATCAATCCAACAATAGTAGCAACTGTGGCTGTTGCCTCCACTACTAAACTTGCTTGGGACTCCCTCCACATGGCTTATGCCAACAAGTCCCAAACGCAAGTCTTTAGCTATCGTGATCAGCTCGCACGACTATCCAAAGACTCCCGCCAGTCTCTGAATATATCCATGAAGTGTGCTCTCTCTGCAATGAGCTTACCACTGTCGGTGCTTCAATCTCCAATGATGAGTTAATTGTGAAAATTCTGAGTGGTCTAGGTCCAGATTTTCGTGAGATTTCCGCTGCAATCCGAGCAAGAAATTCCATCATCTCTTACGAGGAGTTGTATGCCAAACTGATTGATCATGAGCTCTTTCTCAAACATGAGGAATTAAAGAAGGAAACCGCACCAATTACTGTTGCTATGGTAACTCACAACAGAACCAACAATTCCAGTAACCACAGGGTTCGTCGACGAACAACAACTCACAATGGCGTTACAACAATCGTACTAATGCTCCTACTCAAGGATGTTACACCAATAACCATGTTCGTTGTTACTTATGCAACAAACAAGGTCATACTGCAAATGTTTGCAGGTCACAGTCTCATAATCATTTAGAGGCAAATTTTCTTTCAGGTACACAAGTTGCGCCAAACCAATGGCTTGTTGACTCTGGTGCTACTCATCATGTCACCACAGAGCGTACAAATCTTGAAGCAGTGGCGAAGCTAGCCCATCGAGTACGTTCGGCCGAACCTAGTCGCTTTAGTTCAATATATGTATTTATCTTAAAAAATCCATTGAATATGTACAACTTATTAATTTATAACCCAGTAACTTAAAAGGATTAGAACCCCAAACCCATAAGCTTTAAATCCTAGTTCTGCCTCTATCTTGAAGAATATAATGGTTCAGAAGGCATAGCTATGGGCAATGGTAAAAGAATTCCAATTACCCATCTTGATTCTTCTGAATTAGTTGCATCAAACAACACTTTTAAACTAACTGACACTTTGTGTGTACTTGTTATCAAATATTGTTTCTTTATCAAAATTTTGTCAAGATAATTTGACCTCAATTGTAATTTTCTCATTTTCTTTGTGAAGGACTTGAAATCGCGGACACCACTAACATACAAGGAGTAGAAAAGAGACTAGCTAACCACACCATAATAGCAACATGAGAAGTCTTGTGAAGCTCACCAACACAAGATTATACGTACTATTCGTTGGGAGACACATGGTGCATGTTGGTTCCCCAAGTACACGCAAGTATACGTAGCCGTCAAGTAATAAAGTGATTCGAAAGTCGGATGTCGAACCCACAGACACTTAGATCAATTGTTAATTAAACAAACTAAAATTGGTTAATTGTCCACGATAATCAAGATTGATGTTTTTCTATTAATCTATTATTGCGAAAATTAAACAAGTAACAACTAATTTATCTAGAATGCAAATGTGTATGCTGAGATTTCAATTCAGAGGAGATGAAGATAGGATTGTGGTTGGTTTATCAATCATATTAAGTTCAATAATTAGACTTGTTAATCCAGATTATCTATGGTTGCTAATTAACTGGATCGTTTATATGAATAGCATGTTCCCACAATACTACTCGTCTGTCCATAATATATAAATCCTATAATCCTATGGTATTGAGTCTATCATGAACAAATACAACACGGTATTCAACTAAGCAAGACTGTTAGGTATATTCCTATCCTAACCGCAAAATCTTTCCCCGAGTCACGGATTCAGAAATAAGCCCTCTTTAATTCTACTCTAATATAAACACGGCTTTCCCAAGTATAGCATAGATAGTCGGGTGAATTCGTAGCTACAACAATTCACAAGTTAAAACTAGAATTAAAGAAACAACCATAAGATGATAATCCGAATTAACAAAGATGTAATTAATAAAAGTTAATAATCATGTCAACCGCAACCCTTGAAACTAGAGTGCTTAGCTACTCATGTTCATAGCAATAATTTTTCAAGTATTCTGCATAAGTAAATTACAAAGAAAAGATGAGGGATGAATAACTCGATGATTTTCTCCTCCAAAAAATGTTCTCAATGTCTTCTCTCCTTCCAAAATAGTCTCCTTAGGTCTAAGGTATGTCAAAAGTCCTAAAAATAATATTTTTACATGTATTTATACCAAATAGGGTTAGGCCCAGACGAAAGCACTTTTTCCTACGCAGAATAGGATTGAGACTCTATAAAAATTGCATAGGAGCGCCACAAGTGGTGATGCGCCAGGCAGGGCATCTGTGGGGAACTTTAGAGAGCATGCAAATTGAGGGCAATAGCATTTTACACAGCCGCAGCGCGTGGTTGTCTTTTTCTTAGAGTATGGATTTTTCTTGACTTTTGATATCCAGACGTGGTTTTCTACCCCAGAACACGATTCCGACTTAATCTTACTATCACGACCCAACTTTCCCTCTGTTTGGGTATCATGATGGCACCTATTCTTAGGGACTAGGTAAGCCTAATCTCTACTGAATAACAACAATAATAAATAATATTTAACAGTCTCGAAATAGAAACCTCTACAAAATTTACAATTCTCCAAAACCAGCGGTACAAGTCATAAGCTCTATAGAGTTTGCTACAACTTCTAAATACAACTATTTGGAAATAAGTAGAACAGTGTGAATACAAAATAGGAAGGTGACTCCGAAGCATGCGATCGTAGTAAGAGGTTTAACTTGAGTCTCCTCAGCAACAGTCCGCATTGCAACTAACGGGTCTTAATACCTGAACCCTAAGACTCGGCATCTTGTTCCCTCATAACACCTCATAACCGAATTGATGACTCACGTGCCAATAGAGCCGTTTTCACCTAGAAGGCAAGTAACCAGGGTGTGCATCTATACTCAACAATATCAAGAAAACCTCTTATACGATAAGGGTGCTTAACGACGTGTATGCTTGTGCAAGTGTCCTAATATAGTCCATACCAACAATAAGTATAAGGAAAAGAACGGACACCACATAGAATATTTTCTCACAGCTTTCACAAGATAAAGCTCACGCTGGTAAGTGTACCACTACACAGATATCAACAACAAGAATGCCTCCAGGCCATCACAAATCATCATAATCAATCCCTGACATAGCCCACCTTATCTCGCCACGTGTGCAATAGTAAAGTAAATGTCCGCCTTGTCTTGCCACACATGCATCATAATATTTCCCTCTTGTCTCGCCACATGCGCAACCCACATATATATATCCCGCCTTGTCACATCGCATGTGCAAATATCAATAGTAACCACAACACGGCATAAACCTCATGCAACCCTATAACAACAACCGCAGAGCGGAAACATCGTGCATCACAATCTCAACAACCGCACGGCAGAAACTTCGTCCCTCAAATCATGATTTTTCATTTTGAAAACTTTCTTCAAAAACTACCATTTTCCTCAACTCAAAACACAATTTAAATGATGAAAATTTAAAATCATGGAATATATTAAATTCTAGGCGAAGAACACTTACCCAATCGATTTTCTTGAAAAACCTAAAAAGAAGCTCCCAAACTCGAAGTCTAAAACCCAAAATATGAAGAAAATGGCCAAACCATTGACTTACATGTTTCTGTCAGAACTTCCGCATTTGCGAACAAGTAACCGCATTTGCGGAACCGCATTTGCGAGAAAGAGTCCGCATCTGCGAACTCAGCTAACCAGGCCTGGGACTGCATTTGCGGATTTACAGCGGCACCAGCGGCACCGTAGAAGCGAAAGGGGAAGCCGTAGAAGCGATCTTCGCAGGTGCGATCGCTGGACCGCAAAAGCAGCCTTCCCACCTGCGTGCAAGCCTCCGCAGAAGCGAGCAAGCTCCCAGGCCTTCATGACCGCAGAAAAGGCCAGGCTCACGCAGAAGCGGTGCCGCACCTACGCTCCAAAGTCGTAGGTGCGAAAACACCAGAACCAGGCCGGCTCAAAACTATGCAAAACCATCCGAAACTTGACTAGAACATGTCTAGGGCCCTCAGGGCCTCGTCTAAGCATACCAGCAAGTTCTATACCGTAACACAAAACCACTCGAGGTCTCAAATCACATCAAACAATGACAAAACTATGAATCACACCATGAATCGTACTTATGAACTTTCCAATCTTCCAGCTTCTAAAACTCGCACCGAAACCTATCAAACCAACCCAGAATGACATCAAATTTTGCAGGCAAGTCCCAAATGACATAACGGAGATATTCCAACTCTCGGAATCACATTCTGACTCCGATATCACAAAAGCCAACTATTGGTCAAACTTCAACTTTTCCAACTTTCGCCAATTTGCTTCAAATCACCCTACGGACCTCCAATTCCAAATCTGGACACACGCCCAAGTCCAATATCACCTTACGAAGATGTTGAGATCATCCAAAACCCATTCTAGAGCCATTTACACAAAAGTCAAATTTCGGTCATATTCACATTGCTTAAGCTTCCAAAACTAGAATCCTTCTTCCAATTCGACTCCAAATCATCCGGTAACTGAATTCGACCACGCATGCAAGTCAATACACATAATATGAAGCTGTTCAAGACCTTATGCCGCCGAACATAGTTTAAATTCTCAAAACTACCGGCCGGATCGTTACATCCTCCCCCATCTTAAAACAAACATTCATCCTCGAACGTACCAAGAATCGCCTTGAAGTTATCAAATCACTGAATGCACACCTCTAACATACACCCGGGGGTGACCCAACGTCACCCCAATCCACATAAACCTAACGACACCATATCAACTGTGAATTAACCTATCTACCAACACCGATAAGCTTATAGGCAAACTACTCATCTTTCGTCCATTTCCAAAAGACCCGATTCGAAATCCATGTCTGGCATCAGTCTCAACCAGCTGCAACAACTTATGCCTACACCTACCCGATATAAACACACAACATAACACACCACACATAGACCTATGATAACACTTTCGATCACAATAGCTGGCTGTAATACAACCCAACATTGATAATTAGCTCATATCTGTTAGAACCCTGTTTCGAACCTCCATAACACTGAAAATGATGCAAGAAACACGAAGACCTTATAACTATACACCTGAATCAACAAGTCACAGCTAACACCACCGGGCATACACCCTGCAAGCTAAAACTCAAGAAACATATAACAAAAATGACTGAATATGTAAAGAGAAACACATAAGAAAACTATCAAACAAGCCCGACAATACAACTATCTATCAGTACCATACTACGAATCAATTTGAATAGGAAATCAAAGTACATGAACAAATAAAATCACATGAAATCACGAGGGTCCCACCCTCAACTCTGAATCACAAGTAAGATATACATCAAACCAACTAGAACCTTTCACTAGATTAATTTTGCCAATAAAATTATAACACATACTGGCTCCCGCACTACTGGAGCATAAAAATCACAGCTCGTAACCAACATACTCAGGAATCACATCAACCTACTGTAAATTTACTACTAGTCTTGTAACTCTCAATAATGAATAAAAAAAGGATAGACATGGCTACCGCTCATAGGATCTCCCAACAGGGGCAACCACATAAATAGAATACTATGCCATCAACTCACCCATAGGTAGAGAAAAAATAGGGAACTCACCCCGATAAACAGAACTGTAACAAACAAGGATGGTGCTGCTCTAGAACAAACCGAAAGCATACTTGTATGACATCATCTGGCGCAATGGCCTCAAGCCTATCATATGAAACACATTAACGGGTCAGGCCTCCCCCTCTTGGGTGGCCTCTACTTGCCTGAATACCCCGTTGTAACACATTTGTCCGGAGTCTGGGACAATCTCTCACCATGTGGCTAGTATCTCCATACTCAAAGCAACCTCTCTGCTGATGTGGTTGTGGGAACTGTGCGGTATGGGTACTCTGAGACCCATGAGTACCTAAAACACTGTACGAAGCCTGAAGTGCAAATTGAACTAGCTGACTCACAAAACCTCTACTATGCCGGACCCTACCTACAAAATAAGGACAAGTGGATCTCTCCAGTCTATGAGGCCTCATCGCCTCCCTATACTCTCTCTCCTAATCTCGTCTGTCCTCTCTCTCCTGGTCCCACCTGTCATCTCGCTCCTGGTCCCACATGCCCCCTAACCGGCGAGCGATCCCTACCACCTGCTAAAACAAAACATCTGACTCCAACTCCCAAGCCATCCTGAACCGAATATCATGCCTGAGCACCTCATTGAACCTACAGACTCGTTCCCTAACTGTAGCGACCAAGGCAGGGGCGTGTCTAGCCAAATCACTAAATCTAATGGCATACTCCGATACTGATATAGTGCCCTGGCACAACTGCTCAAACTCCATGCACCATGCATCCCGAAGGGACTGAGTTACAAACTCTCTCAAGAACATCTCTGAAAACTGAACCCATGTGAGTGAAACTGACTCGGCCGGGCTACCCAACTCATATGCCCGCCACCACTGATAAGCCGCTTCCTTAAGCTGGAACATAGTAAAAGCAACCCACTTGTCTCAATAATCCCATAGTGCGAAGAATGCAATGGCAGTCCTCTAAAAAAAACCCCGTGCACTCTCTGAAACCAAACCACTAAATGTAGGAGGGTCATATTTTTTGAACCTTGCAAGTCTAAGCTGCTCTTCCTCAGATGCTGCTACCCTGACCACGGGCTGAATGGGAACCACAAGCTGTGTCACCATGATACCTAGAACCTGACCAACGTGAACTTGCTGCTCTGGAGTGTGGGCGGTGGGAGTCTAAGTCCCTCTCCCGATCGGTGAAGTAGCTGGTGCAACCAGAATCAGCCCTGCTTGAGCCAATGTACCAAACATGCTTAGGAACTGCGCTAAGGTCTCTTGACGTCCGAGGGTACCAGCAGGTGCCTCCGGTACCTGCCCCACAACTGGAGCTACTGGAGGCTCCTCAACTTCTGCTCTGTTAGGTGCCCTAGCTGCGATACATGCTCCTCGTCGGCCTCTGCCTCTACCTATAGCGATACCTGCTCTGGGAGCAACGTCATCGCTAACTACAGCTCGTGTCCTCACCATCTATGAGAGAATGGAACGATAAAAGTTCAAACTCCGAGATCAATAAGCTCACACGATAGGAATGAAAGAAGTGAGATTGTCCTAATAGTTCCGTAGCCTCTCGAAGATAAGTACAAACGTCTCCGTACCGATTTGTAAGACTCTACTAAACTCGCTTATGACTCGTAGCATGTATGAACCTAGAGCTCTAATATCAACTTGTCACGAACCAACTTTCCCTCCGTTTGGGTATCGTGATGGCACCTTGTCTTAGGGACTAGGTAAGCCTAACTTGTACTAAATAATAACAATAATAAATAAAATTTAACAGTCTCAAAATAGAAACCTCTACAAAATTTATAATTCCACAAAATCGGTGGTACAAGTCATAAGCTCTAAAGAGTTTGCTACAACTTCTAAATACAACTATTTGGAAGTAAGTAGAACAATGTGAATACAAAATAGGAAGGTGACTCCGAAGCCTGCGAACGCAGCAACATGTTTACCTTGAGTCTCTTCAGCAACGGTCTGCACTGCTACTAGCAATAAAATACCTGGATCTGTACAAAAATGTACAGAAGTGTAGAATGAGCACACCATAGCGGTGCTCAGTAAATATCAAGATAACCTCGATGGATTAGTAACGAGGAACAGTCAAGACACCCACTGGTCTAATAAACTGAACAAGTATAAGTATAGGAACAACAAAATATGGTTTCTACATAAAGACTACGCAATACGACTAACAATACAGAAACTTCAATAAGAAAGGAAACAACAAGTATCAGAGTAATACCATAAAATGACACAGAAGAGTGAATGAAACACAACCTAAATCCAGAATCATATATACAACAAGGACAAGTAATAACTCATCTATTACAACCGCTTTTACATTAGTTTTTAGTCAAAAAAACTCCATGAGGTACCGAACCTCAGACGAATCACAACTAACAGGTCTCAATACATGAACCCTAACACTCGACAACCTGTGCCCTCATAACACCTCATAACCAAACTGATGACTCATGTGCCAATAGAGCCGTTTTCAACTAGAAGGCAAGTAACAAGGTGTGCAACTATACTTAACAATATCCAGAAAACCTCTTATACGATAAGGGTGCTTAACTACGTGTATGTTTGTGCAAGTTTCCTAATAAAGTCCATACTAGCAATAAGTATAAGGAAAAGAACGGACAACACATAGAATGTGTTCTCACAGCTTTTACAAGATAAAGCTCACACAGGTAAGTGTACCACTATATAAATATCAACAGCAAGAATGCCCCCAGGCCATCACAAATCTTCATAATCAATCCCTGACATAGCCCACCTTGTCTCGCCACGTGTGCAATAGTAAAGTAAATTCTCGCCTTGTCTCGCTACACGTGCATAATAATGTTTTCACCTTGTCTCGCCACATGTGCAACCCACATATATATATCCCGCCTTGTCATGCCGCATGTGCAAATATTAATAGTAACCACAGCACGGCAGAAACCTCGTGCAACCCAATAATAACAACCGCACAACAGAAACCTCGTGCATCACAATGTCAACAACTGCACGACAGAACCCTCATGCATCACCATAACAAGTACAAGAACAACAATGACAATAATACCAAGTACGACAAGTAAATCAACTCAAGCACTTTAGATCACAAAAAATGGTAGAACCAGTTCACCAGGATTAACCACAGTAAAAAATGCTAGGTGTAAACAGAACAACTCAATAAGGAAAAACTAATATGTAGCAATGATCTCACAATAGACAATTCAACAATAAGGAAGCTGACACGAGTCAAATAGTTCCAAATAAGGACAAGTCAACTAAGATATAGGATATCTAAACTTCTTTTAAGGTTGGACAATTACGAGGATATTCAACAAT